AGCGTGATGCTATCAGCAGTTCAGCGTTTAAATCTAAGAGAACTATCTTATTCTGATTATCCAACATTCCGCTGAATGACTCCATCGTGGATAAGTGGCCGTCGACATACACTGCGCGCGTTAGCGTGCATAGCCAAACTGGTGAAGGATAAAGGACAGAGTCCTGGTACGTTAGTCAATCCCATGTCAGAAATGCGCCCACACATACGCCTTCCATCCAGAATCGTAGTGGCGTATTGGATGCGTATGTGGCCTATACATTGACTTGCGACGCCCAGCGAATGTACAAGTCGGTGCTTTTCTCCTCCCAGACGAGTCTGGTGCCAATTCACCGAAGTTATGGAAGGCTTGGATGGGGCAGGCGGACAAGCCGGGTTTCAAACCCGTGACCATGCATGTGTTAAGTGCGCGGCTAGCCACAACACCACTTCCCCCGTAGTTTCCCGTAATAATGTCTGTAAACGCCAGTAGAAATCAGGAAGTTGGCGCTACCAACCCATCGCTTCTTATACTTATCATTCTGTCGCTCATCAATTATCAATTTGAACGTTTGTCGCTACGGCGAAGAGAATGTGGCTCATCTCTTTAAACACTAAATATCACTTTCAACTGGTATCATTTGGTTTATGAATTTGAAATGTTTTTTTCTGAGTTTTGAGTTGAAGTTCAGAATTATTCATGTTTGAATTACTCGGTTTAACTATAAATTTCAACGCTCTCGAGATAAGCTATGGTATCTGATCGGTCGCGCTACAAATCATTAGTTATCCTTTCGATTAGACAATCATGAGTCAAAATCAGTAGAACGAATTCTCATACTAGTACTTTCAACATTGTGGGTTTGAACGCTCGGGGATGAAGCGAGCGGTCTGAATTTTGTTGCAGAAAGGCAGGAACTTTCAAACCCCTGGCATTGGCAGAAAGGCAGGAACTTTCAAACCCCTGGCATTGGACGGTAGTGTATAGCAATGATTCATTCAGACTGGATAAAAAAACTTTTATTCAACTGTTCACATTTTTGTTTTGATCATTCTCGACCTTATTGTAAATGCTTTGACGATTTTTCGGTTCCAGACGCATTCAAACATATATTATGTGTCAAATGCCATACCACTTTATGCTAAATGCTATAATGACGAGGATGATATCACACCGCATAGAGTGCACCAATATTTGAAGGTGAGTTTCTTTTTTTACTTCGTGGATTTTGTGCCTGATTTATTTAGCCCAGAACGGGTCTGGGGTGATTCTTCAATTTTACTCCCTGATAGTGCGTAATCGAGAGGCTTGGTATTCACTACATTCACTACAGACATTTGGTATTTGTCATTCCCTCGTATTTCAGAGTTGACATCATTTGAGCACATTGGTTATGTTTTTGTTGCTGCTTTTGAGTAATCCTACTTGGCCTTCAGGTTGAAGCTTCATAAAAGTGTTCTTCACACATTTCTCTGTTACTGTACCGAATCAAGTAATTTCACCGTTCTACATCCCTATTGAAGTATGCTGTAACTCTTGTGAACCGGGTGGCGGAACTTCTCCCCGAATTCCCACGACCAGCGGCAGTTGCTTCGTGGCGATCGCCATATCCTTCCACTGGAGATTCGAATAATTTTTCATACCGCGCGACCGAAAGCGGCGAGACACGCCGTTCGGGGAGAAGATACCAGACCCTTGTGGACCATCCACGCTTACGGCAATTGTACGCTCCTGCCGTTTTTCAGTTTTGGTGTATCTTTGAGGCCCAGTAATGAGTGTCGATTTGTACCCTCTGCTCTATTCATCTGTCTTGCTGGCTGTGGAGAGCTTCTTTGTCAGTATAATTTTTTGCGGAAATGTGTCATATAGGTCAACCGGATCACCAAAAAAAAAGATCATGATGAAATCAATTCCAAATGACATCAAATCTTATATGTTTGCTGATTCCTACATTATTTTTCTTCAGGCAGCTGGAGTTATGAATTTCACGAAAGGTCTGCCAACATCGTTAGCTATGGGAAGTGAACAGCAGTGGGACAAGGAAAATGCATGGCCGCCAATGATTCACATGGTCATTGAGGGCTTCCGTACAACTGGAGAGCCAGATCTCATGAAGGTAAGTGCTACGAATTCACCTATGTTTAGAATTTTCCAGCAGGCTTTTTGTCAAGTATATTAATAAAGGGAGCTTTTATTCTCATTGGTTAGGGCTTCGACGTGATTTCATGCTAAAAAGGGTGTTTAGCTTTACGTGGTATTGAGAGGGAATGAAGTTTTTCATGAAGTGTGATTAGAAGATAACAATCGTTTTTATGTTGCCGAAAAAATGGCTACGTCATGGCTTTCGGTTACCTATCAAGCATTTATTCGAACGCACGCTATGTTTGAGAAGTACAATGTGACAACGCTGACAGAAGAAATGTCTGCCGGAGGTGGTGGAGAGTATGAAGTTCAGGTACGTGTCTGCTATTATTCGGTCGTTGTCGAGTTACCAGCTTCCCTGAAAGGATACAGTAAAAGTTTTTGAAAACCTTCCCACGACCTGCTCCCTTCCACTGGTATCATGTGTATGATCCCCCTTTTTGGAGCGGGCAAATGCCCCAGTTGCGTCTTTGGAAGATATTTGTAATGATGAGCGGGTTAGTGTGCCTCGAGCAAAAAATCTGTGATGGAATTTGGTTAGCACATTCGATTCCTTTACCCACACATGGATACTAAGTTTTGGTATACCTAGGGCTGTTCTAAAGTGTGAACTTTTTTGCGATTTGAAATGCCAGTTTTTACTTGTTACTGTCAACATGCCCGACTTGACATTTTTCCCACATAGCTAGGTTTTTTATCATTCATTGCTCCTTAAACGGCACACGTGACTTCAGTGCTATTGTTAAAGTAAATGCTATTCTTCACAGTAAATGTCATGCTTCTGCTTATGTGAGAGAATGCGGAGAGTACTTTGATGTTAGCTACCATTTTTCTTCCCACTTGCCCAGCCGCATTCATTGCTTTTGCAAGAATGGCGATTTTTCATAAGGCTTAACGTTAACGTTCTCGGTGGTTCATCAAAAAGTGGTCAGCCTCTTGGGATCGAAAAAGGGCAAGGAAGGAAGCTGGGCAAAGTTCTAAGACTGCTCGATCACTCTTCCAGTGGCCTCGTTGCTTTTGATAGGCTGCGCGTTCATTTTCGTGAAGGCTGCACTCTTTCCTTATATCGTAGACTGCAAGATCATCAATCAAGCCGTAGGCGAAAATCTCTGGTTGCATATCAAGAGCATAGTGAGGGGCACCTCACTTTCCCATGGATCTGATGTCTTCCTCCCAACTTTAGGAACTAATTTTTTTAAACTTAGATTTGTTACCCGTGTCCTGAAACTATTGATGAGCCAGTGCTTATTTTAGACAGGATTTGGCTGGACGAATGGCGTTATACTGGACTTGCTCGACAAATACGGTGATAAAATGAAGGATTCGTCGTCCATGCCTCGTCTGGTCACATTATGTGTATTAATAGTATTCTTCTCTCTCGAATAGCTAATAATCAACGGGCCTTTTTTGTGCCTATCATTGTGATAGCGAATTTCACGGGGCTTTTTTTTCTTCTCATTGTATTAGGTAAACTTTTGCTTGCTCCACAGCGAGAATCATAGGAAACAGTTCTGTTTGTAACTTCTCAGTGATTTTTTTGTTTACTTCTCTGAACTATAGTAAGATAGCTGTCCAAACAGTGTGGCACTACAGTGAAGGCTGGACTCAGGGGATGCGTGGCCGGCCAGTTATTTCGATGATTCATGTGCGATTGAGTGGCGGGCGGTGGTGGTGGTAGCGAACGGAAAACTGTTATTCTTCCAGTTGTCACATACCTGAGCGCTATTGGGAGATATGTTTTGGCAGGTTGTCTGTGTGTGTTAGTAAACAACGAACGTTGCTTTTTTCCCACGATTGAAATACTCCCTGAACGGCTTCGATCATTTTTTTCCGAAGCTCCCTTATTTGCTTGAAGTGACAACTTATGGGCAGGATTGGCGCTGTTCTCATAGCGCCAAACAGAAGAGATTCTTTGTTTTCGAGTTGAATCTTCCTGTGTTGTCGTGGGATCGCAATGAAATTCGGGATTTCGTGACATCATAGCACTTAATGTCTAAGAGAAGGGACTAAAGTAACTGCATTCGGGCCGTAATTGTGTTTACTAGTCGGTCGTTCTGATGAGTCTTCACTATATACTAAGCCACGCCCTCTTCTCTTCTCAGTATTCATCGTTTAGTTTCAATAATAGCCGTCAGTTAACGAAGCAACGTATTGATTCGGGTTGTAATTATATTTTAAGTTTTTTTTTGTTTGTTTAAAATCTCCATTTAGAATTACCCTAATGGTTTGTACATATGTTTTTTTTTTCCTTTTCGTTGTCTAAGACACTTGCTCTCCACTGTCGCGTTGCGGTACATTGCATTCTTAATCGTTTTTTTTTGAAGTGCATTTGTATGGAGTTTAGGGCTTATGTATGTATTAATGACTTCTCGACTAGTCATGATCATGAAAGTATTCGCAGCTGATGTGTTTTGTACAGTTGAAAGTAGAGTTATGTGCTACGAAGTGGCACTGCACTGAAATGGAATGGAATGACAACAAAATGCTCATTCAGAATCAAGCTTGCTCAGCATGTCGCTCTAGCACTGCGGTGACTTCGCCTAATCCCGATAAAATCATATTTTTTTCCGTCACAGAGTGAAGAACCTAGGCATGATGGATGATCTGGTCTGGTGGGTGACCTGGTCTTGGTGTGGCTCAATGGTGCCTCCTGACCCATACCTCTCGTCAGAATCGTCAAAAACTTCTATTCCTAACTTCAATCTTTTTCACCAATAATCAGCCAGTAATAATGATTGGTCTTTGCTGGTCACTACCCTTCCTTCTTCCTCCTGCCTCAACTGTTCTCAAAGGATTTATTTGTTTAATGCTCTGTCTTTTTTATCTTCTCATCAAACATGTCC